AAGGACAAAGCAATGGGCGCTGATCCTGCGCATCCTGGTTGAATTAGGCGAACGTTTACCACCCGTGACACGGACGTAGTCCACTTTATTCGGCAGCATCATCATCCCTTACGGCCTTACCCCCAAATCGATCCATGAGCAGTCACGGCATCCAATTCGTCGACTTACTTAACCTAACACAAAACACTGTAACGGGGTGTGGACAGGTTGGCTCCATCAACCCTCCTTTTAATATCCTGTTTATCTTCTTTTTTTTCCATCCCTTTTTTTTCCTTACCACCAGTTACTCCACCCTCGAAACTGTCTTCAACACGTTCAACTTACTCGTGCTTTTTGACTTTGTTCTCTTGTTGACAATCCGAGAAACGTCAACTTACATTGCAAATGCGAAAATATTCATCGTATTTTTCACGAGCCACGTAGATTCCAAGAGAGACTGCATATTAATGGGGACACCCGTTAGAAAAAGTGGATACTTTTCTTTTTTCTTCTTTCCTCCCTCTTTCTCTCTCTGTCCACCCCAGCTAAATTATTCCCGCGTGTCCTTTGACGAGGGCGGATATCCGGTCGGCAGGTTATTGCATCTGATATTCTCTGTACACTTTTCCATAGTGAGATTCTGAAAAAAAAAAAAACGTTAGAATTACACGAATGAAATAAACAGAGAAGCTACGTCGAGAATGAGGGTTGATGGATGGTTGAGAATGTAGGGGAAAAATTGCTTTTAAAATTTACCGATAGATGGCACTGCGAGAAGATCTTGTTTCAGGTTATGCCAAGCTGCTCGAATACTCAGCGTTACAAGCGTACTACTATTTAGCAGTAAATTTATAATATCGTTACCTCAGTTTTCCACGAAATTTACTGTTAACAACATTCGGCCATGATCCGTTGGGCATGAAACGAAGTTCAAAGAGCTATTACGAGCTAAGCTAACGTTTCCCACAGCGATATGCTCTGGTGGTCAGTTAATGAACTGAATCCCTCATTTTGTGGTTTTGGCCCTTGACGGTTTTAACTCAGGACAAACTCTTAAACAGCTTTTCGTCCGTCTGTTTTTCGCTATCTGTGACAGCTTTTTTCTCTTTTTTTTTTGTAGGTTCGACGGCATCCAATCTAGAAAGCATTGATTAGAAGAAAAAAAACGGAAAGGGAAAAGCAATATTGATCTTTACACTATACTTAAAGGAAGAAGATAAATAAATGTTCTCTTACTGTCAAATCCTTTTGTGAATAGGAAATTTTTATTTCACTGCACAATTATCACACCAAGATGGTTGCCTTGACATCATTGTGAAATACACGTTGACGTATATCCGCACTTAGTGAATATTGTAGAAGCCGTCCGCGCGAGTATATAAATCCTTGAGCGTAAAATCCAATATGAAAATCCACCTTATGCAAATATACGACGTGTAGCTGTGAAACGATCGAAGTAGTCCTGTCGGTTGTAAAAACATTGCGGAAAGAGATTGCATTGAATGACGTAGATCTTTTTCAAATTTAAAAGATTTCCCTGGAGATTTTTATTGTTAAGTGCATAAATTACGTACTTTATCTTATTAATATATTTTTTTTTAATTTCTTCACTACAACTAATGCTGATTATACTACAGTATTTTACAGCGTATTGTATTTCCTCGTGTTGTGCTCGGTGACTCTCGGTGCACCAACATTCAACAGAGATAATATCACAGAGCGCATCGTCTAGGTGAATTTTAATACTTTTAAAAGCAAAACTCAACCCGTAGCGACCCTCGTCGCGTGGTATTCGCGATTTCATCCTCGGTCACGTTAATCAGAAAAAAAAAAAGAAAAACTGAAAGACAACCAACAAGTGCACCACGAATAAGTTTGTATCGTATAAAGCATCGCAAGGACGTTGGCAGAATGGCGGAAGTCGTATAGAAATTTGAAAAAAATATTAAATCAACAAGTACGCTTGAAAACTGTTTCTAGACTGTCTATAGACAGAAAGGATTTTGTAGGTTAAAAACACTGTCAGTTTTTAAAAATATCTTCCCGCAACAAGGAAAAGATACGTGAAATTTATCCATTCGCTGATTAAAAAATTTCGTAGTTGAATATGGTGCGGTATAAAGGTTGAAATTCGAAAGGGTGAGGAAATTCGTATCGATCGATTTTGAATATCAGGAAAAACTCCCCAACGGTCTACGCCTCTGGCTGATTGGTGGGGATACGAGGAGATGATGAGTGTCGCCGCCTGGCGTTCAGCTCCCGTACTACTTCATTGCAGTAACCACCTGGCCTAAACTCACGGTACAACCTAACGTCTGAATTCGCCGGGATTCTTTTGGAGAATAATCTCGTGCGCAGTTGTACCCAACGCGAGTAATTACATCGTGACGTATAATATGTAAGTACCGCCACGTGAGTACTCCAGGACAGAAGATGAATCCTGTAGAAAGGAGTATGCTCGTGAGAAATGCTCCCGACTATTCCCGGGTCCTGGAGGTCTTCGTTTGGCTGGCTCGTTGCGTCCTGGACGTATTACAATAAACATTTTCAACTAATCCTGGAATGCACTTGTAAGACAACAAAGAAAAATAGAGGAATGAAATATCGCATATACCTTTTCATATCAAGGAGTACAGAGGGTGGCTGTGAATTTTCATATACATATATTCGTCATTTCGCTTTCTATTCTGACGTTCTCCGCATCTCTTATTCAGTTCAACAGAGCTTGTTGGTATGCTCATTGTGGATGCTTGCTGTAATTTTGTATCTTTGCTCGTTACAAACGTCATTTGGGAGTTTGACGATCGATCGGTCACCTAGCTTCTTAAGGTGCTTTGCTTTCTTTACGTTTTATTTATATATTATCTTGCTTGTTTCATTCCCTGTACACATTTTACTCTTTTTTCCCTCTCCTATAAGGGTTTTCTCTCTGCTCTGAACATTCAGCCATCCTTTTAGACTGATCACGACACGCTGTACAGAAGTACTGTCGACAGAGTTGTCAGTACTACTGTAGCAGTTAGTACGTTCTCTACCGTCTAGATGTCAGCACTGTCGCTCGCTGATTTAAATGGCGATGGTGAGCACGTACCTCACTTTCGATTCTACAAAATCGTAGCACGCTACAATTGTTGCATTGTTGCGTACTATTGGTTGTTTTGAAAATTTAATATTATGAACCAGTCAATAGTCTGTCGGAAAGGTTTACGAAAGTACCAATAATACAGTAACCATGCTACAATCGAAGTGTACTACGGTTTCGTAGCACGAATCGGGAATATGGTTGAAAGATTTGAAATAATAAGAAACAGCAATGTAATCGAGTGAAGAGGCGAAACTGCTATTTAGATATTCATGATACAAACCGGCTAATCAAAGTGTTTTATATACCTCGTGGAATTGTTATCTCTCTGACGTGAAAAGGTGAAATCTTACTGATGTCTACGAGTAATGCATAGGGAAGTTTCTATTGTTTTAGCCTTTTTAAGAATCCTTTTCTTGGTTATGTGTACACATTCTACTTTGACACAGTGGATTTATCGAAATGAGAAGTTTCACGTGTTGAAATCTTGGAAGGAGACGAGGAATTCTTATTGACACTGCGCAAACAAAGGGAATTGTCATTTTGATTAACTCCAGGTATTCGTCCTATGTTATTTCATAGAATTCTTTAGCGATAGCATCAATTCCCCTTGGAATATTATATATCAATGCCGATAACGAGAGAAGAATTTATTGCGTTCATGGATCAATTCGAGTGTCAATGTGTCAAAGATCTTGAATTTTTAGGGTTTATAAAATAGCAATACGTCAGCTTGTTTGATTTCAAGCTAACCAACAAAGGGAAATCGTTGGTTCACGGAATTCTATATGCAAAGCGAGACGGGGATCGAATCCTAAAACTGTCATACGTACCCCGTAAATCGACCTGATGGATTTTAATTTTAGTTTTTTTGATAAAACGATTTTTTAAAAATGTTCTATATTAACCAAGCTGTTTTAACGGCATTCAAAGATAACTTTATGCTTGCTATTTTCATACCGCTTACCCATTTACTATTTGTATCAAACATTATTCAACAGACGTATCATTCATATGTCGAGTTGATTATTTACACGTAAAATTCGATTATTTGTTCAATCGTACGATCCGTCAAGAAGTGACAGTATAAATTATTGATTTGTAGAAGCTCAAAGCCATTTCTCCATTGTCACGAAAATCTATTGTGATTTAACGTCATTTCAACTTTCAATAGCCCAACAGTAAAGCATTAACTTCAATTTCTCGTTTCAGGACTGATATAATCCCGAATTGGTGAATTGGATTGTCGGACTTTGACGTTTACATAAACTACGGTAGAAAACGTCGAGTTTATATTGGTCTGTCAACTTCGATTGTCGCTTTATAGAAATACGTATAAAAACTTTGAAAGTTCCCTCAACCTTTATTTTTACATGGACTTGATCGACGCACAAATTGTCATAAAGTTGAATGCCACTGCGGATAGTTCACAACGAAGTGACTTATGTATTTACACGTATACATAAAGGCGTCACAAGTTCGTTCATCGCAGGTCGATTAAATCGCAGCTAACGAGTAAACTTCTCTGCAGCCTCTGAATTTCTCGGGAAACGACCGATCATACCTCGGACTTCCGGTTGTTTGTTACACGTGAGGTTTATCGCCCGTTACTCGCTATTCTACGAGCGTTACGCTACCGGAAGTCAGTACGATGCGCCAGCTTCCGTTTTAGTCCCGTTTCGAAAGGTCAAAGTGGAATCGATGAAAATTACCAGGAGAATCGAACAATCGAAAAGATTAAGCGACGCTTTATCCGATCAAGTCAATTCAAAATGGCCGCTGAACGATTTCCTGTGGGCATTCGACTACGTGATTCAATAACGCAATTTTTTTTATAGCAATACTCCTAAAATTCTCATCGTCCATGCACAGAGATCTTTTCGGCCAGATCTCTTTCCCCGCCGACGTAGATCTTATTTTCGTCTTCTTCCTACAGTACACTGGCTTGGAAATAGTAAAGTCTAAAAATAGAGCCCCAGAGAAACTGGCTGCCACCCATGTTGATTCTTTCACCCATATGTAAGTTCACTACCTTTTTCATATCCGCCTGCCTCACACACGGCATACATCACTATACTTTATACTTGTTCCTAGTGGATGCTGTCCACTTGACCTCGCCTGAACTCCACGTGTTTACGGCACGCACTTCACAGCCATAAATTCATCAGGGTTGATCCTCGCGAACGAGAGATCGGATTTGTCGTACATGAACCTACGGCGCAATTGACCTCTACCCAAGATTCATGCCATCGTCCACATGGGAATACCACTTGGATTATAGTCACGAGATACAGGGTCACTTCTCCCTCTTCGAATTCGTCAACCCGAGACCTACTGTACCAATTAGATCCATTATTCAATTAATTTATTTAGTTTCCTTTGTAATATACCGTTTGTAATTTAACCATCTGTTGATTCAAAGGGGTACCACTTTCCAAAAGGATTTTATAACTGTTTTTGAATCTTAGCTACGTTCCAATAACTTCGTTGACTTTATTAGTTTTTCTAATTTATATCTCATTCCTTTGTATTTACGTGCAAGATGCACTCGTATCTCAATGCGCATTCCGTTTGGAACTTTCACTTGGAAATTTTCAACTTTTCTCTTTAATGCGAAACGTTGATCAGTCTGTTTAAATATTGTATTTTCTATGCTTACTCTAGAACGTTTGATCTTCATTGTAAATGTATAATGGTACATGATCTTTTCATTTGTCTTTTCCAGAAGGAACAGGACAGTAAAGAGAGACCTGCTGGGGGTGCAACATACAATTCCTTCCCCGACGATCTCTACCTTGACGATCAGGAAGCCTTGGAAGGTTCTGGTCGCGGAGGTGGCGAGGTTCGAGACGATCTCGAGGCTTCCGGAAGTGGTCTTGGTCCGGACGATGAAGATGGCGATGATGGCACCAGTACGAATTATTTAATTATATATATATATATATATTTTACTTTGCAATCATCTAGTTTTTTCCACGATGAATATACGTGTACATAGGGATTTTTAATTTATGGACAAATTTTTTTTTTATTTTATATTCATTTTTACAGAAACTTTAGGTTTTCATGTAGCGATTATTATCTGATATTATTTACCTTTATTGTTGGCAGTACAATGGTACAATGGAATCGGACTCCTCGATAGCGTTGAAGTTCTATTGCATTATTCTGATATTTCTGATAAATTTTTCATACGGCGTTGCTACACGAGAGAATAAACCTGTGAATTTTGGAAAATCTCGAATTCCATTGATCCTTTGGTCTGACTATATTTCATCATGAACCACGGTTATTGGAAATTCTTTTTCGCCTCTACCACCATTTCCCGTGATATTGGAAAATGCATTGAATTCGGAATGCGCAGATAATATAATAGTACGTTGATACCTGTACGTTCGGATCAGGAGAATGCATATAGGATGCTATATATTAATTTTACTTAGTAGAAGAAACAATTTTTTTCATTAATCGACCATCGATCCAATTTGAAATTTTCGATTATCCAGCGCCACCATGTGTCACTTAAGACATTGAAAGCCCACGTTAAGTCAATAGGGACTTAATTTCTGTAATGAAGTGATGCCTGCTATTTCGGCCATTTTTAACTGGGCGATCTAGAACAGTTTTTTCATAACTTTTTTTCATAAATAATTTTTCCTTTCCCAAGCACCACTTTACCGGTTTACCTCGAGTTTAACACTTTTTCAAACAAAGCTGTGTCAACGTTGACGCAATCATTTAAAAACACTGAACAAGCCGCATATATGTATTTCTATTGGCTGCAATGAAATTTCATCCTACCGTTGCGTAACGTTCATTTGTTTTTTAGGCTTCAACAAGCACGACAGGATAGAATCAGTACCTAGCAAACCAATCGAGCCTAAAGCACCTTACATCGACGAAACCATCATTAAAACAAAACAGGTGAGTCAGTTTAGGGGAAAAAAATTTCTTTTTTCACAAAATTAATTGCTTGCATTTAATTTAAATTACATTGTTGAACTGACAATTTTCTTGTAGACGAACATCGAGACGGTAAATAGGCCAAGTAACGAAGGGGGCGTGGTCGAACAAAGCGGAAGTGACGAGCACGAGGAAGTGAAGGAAGAGACCAACGAGGTCTACATAATGAATAAAAAAGATCGCGCCAGTTCGTTCTTCGCTCAACCCGGCGTACTTGCCGGTATGTAAAAGTGTCGTGAAATATTTGTTTAGTTAAGATAAGAACGACTGTCGTGCCATCTGTCGTGATAGAGGAAAAACTATCATTACCGACGTTCACTATTATTTATACGTGAAACTACGAAAATTCATAGTTCACTATCTAATCTATCACCAGACGTAGTATATCTATTCGATTGAATATTCTCGTTTGATTCTCTATCAGTAATTCAATTAAGATAATAACTTGTGACTTCCGGTTAAACGGTTAAAGAGAATGTTTCTTTCTCCTCGAAGAATGCATAACGACGCTCTTCGATATTTACAACTCATAATACATCTAGGTTTTAATAAAATTGTCTGTACGTAAAGTGAATAAATTTGAGCTCATGAATTATTCTGTTTTTCAGCCGTTATCGGAGGCGCAGTGGTGGGTCTCTTATGTGCGATCCTCGTAGTGATGTTCATAGTCTACAGGATGCGTAAGAAGGACGAAGGATCTTACGCCCTGGATGAGCCAAGAAGATCACCAGCTGCTCAAGCATATCCCAAACCAGGAGCGCCACACCACAACCGTGAATTTTACGCTTGAGCCTCGAGGCTTGATCGTCCTGGCATCCGTGAAAACGCGAACCACCAAGTCACCGGATAAATATTAAGCAAGATCGACCAACAAACACGATGACGACGTTTACGACGAGCGTGAACGAAAACGACAGCGAGGACGTCGCCATCATCAGCTACGTTTCTACTATTGGTCGATCGACTTTAAGATTCACAAGTGCGAACGGTGTTGGAAGTGTATGTACTTCTTCTCGTATTCGCAGGCCATATTCGAGTTCTTTCTAGGAAGAAGGTTTATCAGATCAGAAGGGTGAAAGAAGTGTGGCAGAACGAAAAACAAAAAAATACGTGTCCAGAGATCCTGAAGCGAAGAAACAGAATCCTCCGCTGACGTTACTACGTTCATCCCCAGAAATCTTTGCTCGTTGTAACTGTGCTCGGGCTTGAACGAATTCCAGATGCATTTAAGTAGAGGGAATATATATATACATCTATGTGTATATATAGAGAGCTATTGTAGTAGCGTACAAAGAAGTAAATCCTCTTTGGGGTTCGAATGGAGCCATATTTCCGAACGAGGAGTCTTTTATTCGGTATGTCGATTTCTACGAGATAGATCTAATGAGAGAACGAAAAATAATCATGTCAGATCAGTTCTGTTTCGTTCGCGTTCGAAGCTAGGTAGGATGTCGTTTGATTATTTATACTTGGGTCTTTCTTCTTCTTCTTTTTATTCTTGTATGTTGATTCTCATGGGATGTCTCGTCTATCTTGTTACGTGGTCGACTCTAGGTAACTTTGATTCTCTTTGGGTTTTATAGAATTTGTTTTGCAGTGTATCGAAACAAAGGGGAGGAAAATCCCTTGAGTTGAAATTTTTCTTCGCTACCTTATGTCTCTTCGATAATCTAACAAAACCTTTTCGATATCTTGAGAAAAGTTATATGTTACACTTACCTTGTAGAGAATCTTGTAGCTCTGCGAAACATACTTCTCTTTTACAAGCTTCGACAGTTAATTGATTGATTTTGTGGTCATCAACTATACAGTAATTAATCGTTAAGAATATTTTAATACGGGATAAATCAATTCCAATAATCGTTTTTACAAATGGACAAAGATGTACTGAGGAGGTACACGTTGTTTTTTTTTGTAGTGCTAAAATTGTATTTGATAATTGTCTCAAAAACACTAATCTGTGCTTACGCGCATAAAGTGCATTTTATAGCTGTAAGATTGTTACACGAAAAATATCATTTCACACAACAATCATTTGCCATTGCATGCTGTATAGAATTTGTCACACGTTAGTTCTTTAGACTCCCATTTGGAAAGCTCTAAGAGTGGGTGAAACGTTCACGAGATGAAAAAGAAAAACTACAGTCGACTCGTAACGCGAATTATATACGTAGATGTTTCAAAGAAAGTAAATTGCGATTGCTGTAACAGCCATTGGAATGCAATCTCAGTAAAACAAAAAAGCATTAATTCAAGGAGAGTAAACGAAAGCTTTTAATATTTCATAGACGCATTATCACCTTGCTAAAGAAGCATCATAGTCTAGCTGGACGAACAAAAGCTCGGTTAACATTTTTCTGTACACTTTAAATAATCGAAAGTAATCACCGTTTTGGAAGAAAATGAATATAAAGAAAATTTGGTGCTACTAGCGATCATTGAAAGTGACAATATTTAACAATTGGACCCTAGATACGTGACACTCTCTTCTCCATTCCTTGTACAAGAATTTTCTGCGAAAAATATTCGTAAATAATAAACACGTCACACAGACCAAAGGCGTAAACATACAAAGTCGTATCAGTAGAATGGAGAATAGTTTATAAAAAAGAAATTATATACCAACACATCCAAAAACTTAGTACACGTGGGTCCTAAATGCTCTCATACGTCATTTGTCATATAATTTTACTAGAATCAATTGACTTCCGAGATTATTGTTTTTTCCTTAAATATTGTATAATTTTTAAAAATAATTTTATTTCAATCTTCTTTCTCCCACGCTCTCTTACGTTTCACTCGGTATTTATTTCTACTGGACAGAGTGTGCGATTTTATTAATTTATTAATTTTTGACCCATAGGCTCAATTTCATGTCGCACATGCGTCCATGCATTTCCCTTGTGTCTCCCGTCTTACACACTTTATGCATTTTTAATAAATCTCTATCTCTTGTTTCCTTGCTCAGAGACATCTTTTTTCTCACTGTATTATCTACGTTCCACATTTCTTTCCCATCTACGGTTGAATTCCGGTGTCATTCAATTAGCCTTAGAAGCCAAATTCTTTAGTTTCACGTCGTGTGTCAGTAAGTTAAAAAAAATGTCCAGTTGTCGGAACTCCCGGCTCTTGTAAATTCAAAACACGAGCATCATAAGACACGAGTAAACGAGAGATGAGCGGCCATTCCACCTCGTTGGTAGAGAATCGCGTGGGATTAGCTAAAAGTAATAAGTGCGCGAAGCGTAACAGGGAGGAAAAAAGGAAGAAAGAACAATGGAGTAATAAATATCACGCCGATACTGCCATATAATATATTACATAAGAAAAACAATAATTTGGTACGATTTTGCCATTTAACCCTTTCTATCCCCTCCTTCCAAGTGACCATCCTCCCCTTCCTCGCCCTTTCTTCTTCCATTCAGCTAGACTCTTTCTTGCCATTTTTCCCACTTCCTTCTCGTTAAAAGCAAAATTTCGTTAGTCCGCCTTAAGAGCTAAGATCGTTAGTCACTAAACAAAGGAAAGACGAAATATTTAAATTGAGGGTTCAAAAAGTACATAAAAAACATCGTCTCGGTCATTCAGTCGAACGTTACACATTGCGCATGCGCACCGGAAATGCAACGAAGATCAGCCCAGCAATCCGTTACAGTGTGGAACTTCCTCTCATTCGAATCAGACAATTATCATTCCCAATTGTACATTTTCCTTAATCGATCCTCAATCGTTATTAATTATTATACTCGCGATGCCCGGAAACTACCAGTCTCGTCGTTCGCCACTTCCGGCGAACATGAACGCTGCCCGCTTCTAAATGAGGGACTTGAGGTGACGTGTGAGAGAAGGGAATTTTTTATATGCGCCTACATATATTTCTATGTACGTGTTAACCCATGACATTCGGATAAAAAATTGTGCAAGACTTTCATTGTATTTACAAGATGCGAGACGCGTTTGAAATTTTCAAAAAATTTGTTCAATCCTTTTTTTTCTTATTACGCGCGACAAAGATCATACAAAATTAAGAGGCGCGTGCATACACGAAATACACAGAATCGTTAATTGCAAATACAACTGTTATTATTGTACCAGGCCAAGACACAACGCAAGAACGTATAAAAAAAAAACAGAAAGACGTACACACGCCGAAGAGAGTGTGGAGGAAGGATGGTGATTCTTTTATCATTAAAGATTTCACCGGACACATTGAAAAGTGCCTCCCTCTGCGCTCCCTCGACTTCTATCTCGATAACACCCTGGAGAATAAATCTCGGTAACTTTCGAGTAACCATGATAATAACGCTAAGAATATTACTAATGATATAATTAGGATAAACGACAATTTACGGTCGAATTAAGTGTTGCTTATTTTTTTATAATAAATTATTTAATTGCCACGTACCGCGTTCTCCCCCCCTCGACGAAATTTACCCATTTAATTATATGATTGCACGCGTGTTCGGCCCTTTACCCCCCCCCCCCCCCCCCCCCCCCC